AATTTAAGTGATATTTCACTCTGATTAAGTCTAACTAGTTACGCTTTTTAAGATAATTTTCGGACCCACTTCTAACATCAGGATGTTACGGGGCTTTGAACTTTTGTGGTAATGCTTATATCAAAAGAGTTCTGCTAGCCTATACAGAAGAGAATAGCTCTCCATAAAACTGCCTCTTAAGGTACACAGCACACCAAATAAGACGGTCCTAAACTTTGCGTTTTGTAGAGCACGGGAACAATACAGCTAAGCTTGTGTTAGAACTAAACAAAAAGGCCTAATTCCTGAATGGGAAGAACTAGTGTAGAAAATTGAGTGGAAACTTTTCGTGGCTGTTGGATAAGCTTAGAGAGGGTAAATGGAAGAATTATTGAACAAAAGAAGGCTTGCAGGGCCTCGAATCTTACTGGGGCCCTCGTGCCTCATGATGAGTGAGCATTACATACACAAAATACGCGCCTAATCAAACGTTCAGATACGCATGAACAATGTATGATCATACGTTAGTTTAATTATCGAAGAAAACAGCTGCAAGCTGTAGGGTAAGCCAACAGTTATAAATCAAATCATGACACGTCTTACCAATGTTTGCAGCTGGCCACACCTCTTCGTTTGTTCTACTGGAACTTTTTTGTGAATGATCGTTTCTGGCACTGACGATTTCTGTCACTTGACGGGCGAGATATCAGCATGGATTAGCCGGAGTAATAGGACGATGAGCCATGGACTTCTACGCACAATTCAATGGTCTACTCTCCAAGACAATTCCTCTTCGGTTTCCGATGGGGCCAACTAGATAAGCCCTTCCAATTAATTTTTCCTTATAAGTGGAAAGTCTAGTTGCATTTCCATATACATTTCTACCCTTTTTGGTCCCTTCTTTCCCAACTTAGATCTATAAAAATGGCAGCCTAATATCATTATTTTTTTTGTAGCTAATTCATTTGTCTCATTTATTTTACTTTTAGTCATATATCCTTACACTTTTCCCATTAAATGCTAGTGTTCCTACATCCCGTACTTAGCCATGGCTCAATAACCTTGGACATAGAGATCACGTGAGTTTATGATTTAACTGCACTCTTTATTTCGCATCATAGACTTAGAGTAACGCATCTAGTCCGGAGTCCATTGTATGCATGATAATTTCCAGAGTCCAAACGTGGACGTGGTATATTTCCAGACGCTTCACCGGCATCGTCAACGAGCCTTGATATTCTTAGCACCACACTATAACTCGTCAAGGAGTAAGTGAAGTCAACCCTTTGACCAATTGTCTGCTAAACAATCCTGGTATCTCTCCTTCTGTCCAGGGCTTGTATCACTCCTTCATTATCACAATTCTTTACTCGCTTATTTAAATGTGGTATGGTGAGACCTTTCGAGCGGATCTCATGAGACCTCTCCACACCCCACACTGGCTTTCTCACTCCCCTTCATCCTTGTGCCGAGAATTTTGATCAGAGTCTGCCCTTTTTTTACGCAGTCCTCCTTCCATATGCCTCATCAGAGCCTTCCTCTTGCACCGTAGGATCCGTCCGACTGGAAATTATCATGCATACAATGGACTCGCGACTAGATGCGTTTCTCTAAGCCTTCCTACCAGTATGACAAAGTTGCGAAAACAAGGTCAAATAACTTTTATTTGTTTTGCGAAACAATAGATTTATCCATATATT